ACCTCGTAAATGACGTCGCCCGTCGTAACTGTATACATAGCCCGTCCGGCGATCTCGGGATATCTTTTTAGCCGCTATTTTTCCTCTCGTCGCGCTCGTGACTGAATTTTATGTTCTATACCATGCAACGGCTCCCACGAGTCTTTATTATATACCTGCGGGTCCTCAAATGATGTTTTACCTGCGTGTTTTCACAGAAGCGCTGCTGCTTATGCTCGGATTGTTTGATGGTTATATATATTAATACACGATATGTGTCAACTCGATGCGTTGCAGTGTATACCTGTACCGTAAAGATTCCCGCCACCGAAGCCTCGATTCCGCGTTTATTTATAACGACGGCGCGCCTCGTTTGCCCAAAAGGGTTCAATCCACGAGTGGAGTCGTCATCGTTTGATGTATAGGCGCAAAGTGAGATCCGGAGGAGATTGTACTTCGTATTAAATTTAACTGGGCCGTTTTAACGAGACACGCGTCCCGCTCGCGAAGAAGACGGGCTGACACGAGTCCGAGCGTTTTCCATTAATTACGTGGAGACGCCGGCTAGAGCAGTGACAAGTTGAAGGAGAGAATTAAAAGTGGAAAACGGAGGGATATGGCTATCGGTTCCCCAAAAACGGCTTGTACACGGTGTCGTCGTCGAACGAGCTCAGTTTTCGAAAAATCGATTTTATTTATTTGGAATCGTCCTGCCTTTATACTCCACTTTTTCGCTAATAATCCACCAAGTCAAGTATATATACGTAAAGTACGCGCGGATTGAAAAAAAAAAATTTATACCAATAGAGAGGGAGCCTTGGATTTTCAACGGGGCAAATTTTTCCAATTTAATTTGAAATCACGGCCGCGCATCCCTGGAACCACGAGAGTTTAATTTGCCCCTTGCCCTGGAGGAAAAAAAAAAAAAAGAATAATCGAATGGAAATTCCAGCCAAAACCTCATCTCCCGTGGCAATTTAAAAGACCGAGAGAATCTCCGCTCTTCCCCACCTTGTACGCGGTGTTGTATAGGTGTATACATATATACGCGTCTCTCGTAGAAACGCAAAGTAGGTGCGAATAGGAGAAAAGTGGGAGCGAGAACGGCGACGCGAGCAACATATGCCAATTTTCCCCGTAATCTTCCCGCGGGCGCCTTCCTCCCTATACCTCTCTTTTTCTCGACCAAAAAGAGATGAAAAAGGAAGCTTCCCGAAAGGAAAAACTTGGCAGTCGCGCGCGGAAAAGGAAACAAAGGCGCACGTCTTGCCTAATCAGCACCTATACTATAGGTACGCACAATCGCGAAATTTTGGCTCGCGTCTCCCATCCGCGCACATACACACGGAGACGTACCGTTGCACCGTTTAGTTTTTCTGGGTGGCCTAGCCGTCCCTGTTTCACGCGTCTTTATTTCTATAGGCTCCCGTCTGAGATCGCGTGCCGGCTTTCTCTCTTTTATCATTCACGAGACTTTACCAGCTGCCTCCTGCCGACCATACGAGCGATCATATTTATACCTTTCTCTGTGTACATGCAATTGGAAGAGTACATGGGTTTTAGCTGATATGACATCATCACCGCACCTCGTAGCCGCGTTAATTATTTGGAAAATATAGTAAACGATGAAAAGAAAATATATTCCAGCTCTGATGATCGTGCAAGGGTGCATACGCTGTTAAATCATCAACCGTATAGGGCGCGAGTTCCGGTAGCCAATTGCACCCTGATAACAACGTAATGGACGCGTAGTGTGCCCACGATGATGCGCTACGTAAATTTGATACGCCCTCCCTTGTGCAAGTAGGTGTACGTGCATCGTGTTGTTGCGAGATATGACTCGCAGGCGAGCCTAGGGCTAATTAGTTTGTGCAGATATAAGCGAATCCGCCTCTTGTCCGTGCATACGCTTCGTACGGGTGTGTCGTAGAGTTCACGTGTCCTGATGAACTTTTGACTTTTTCCCGATGGTACTAGGAAAGTTTGCTCTACAGAGGTTTCGCATCGTGCGTTTGTATTGCTTATATTGCACTAGTTATTAGATACGAACAAACGTAACTATACATTCTCTTGATTCCATTAGTTGTGAAGTGACGTGTATATAGGTATATTGGTACGAGTGATACAGAAGCTTTAAGTTAATTTACACTCGTTAATCTTGTCGAGAAGTGGTTCTTTCAAAGTAGGTCGCGTCGATCCATCATATTTCGAGTGCTCAATGAAATTTGTGATTTATCGAAGGTATCCCAAATCTCGGATAGGGTATTTTTGGCGGATCATTGGGTTTCGCATTGTATTGCCAATCAAAGTTTTATTTATGAACTCTGTACACAAGGACATCAAAAGCCGAAGAGCTTTGTAGTATAAAATAGTACCAAGAGCGTAACGAGTGCAACTAAATTTACCCTAAATCGCGAACAAACCATATATATTTCAGAGTCGGTTGTTTTCATCTACCAAACAAAAAAAAACGCAAAACAGCATCAGCTTGAAGTAAGTAAAGAAAAAAAATCACTCCAATACGCGAAGCCACAGTGACCCAGAACCGCATCCACCATTCCTCCTTCCTCTGTAACTCTGCATTCCAATCGTCAGCCCTGCATCTGCGCCCCGACGGAGAGAAAAGCCCAGAAGCCACTATTATTCTCGAAGGTGTCGGCACTTTGCACCATCTGCTGCACCACCACCTCGACTGCCAAGCTCCTCGTAATCCAAAACGTTGTCGCTGTCGTAGCAGTGCATACGTACAGCGCACCAAAGCAATTTCTTCGGCCTCTAATTAAAGAGCCCTGCCTTGGCGCGGATACGCGAGCCGAGCCCCGAGGACAGGGACCTGGATTATTGGGATCACGAGAGCCGTACAGGTACTACGCGCCGTTCGATCGTCTTTCTCCTTGCTTTAGCGCCCGTTTTTCTGCACATATATTTGTACCCCTATCCCCGTGGAAGGAGGCCACGCGTCCAACTGCAGAGCCGGAGCGTGGAATCTTGCGGTCCAGGGGTGGGATGAAGCGGCATTTTTCGATATCGGATTTTTGAGGTTTCATCAGGAATCCCCGGCGGCCGAGGGACGAGAGAAGAGCAACACCCTCCTGAGGTGGAGGAAAAAAAAAAAAAAAAATACCTCGGTGGCGGCATGTACACCCAACAACCCATAGGACTCCCAAAATTGCGCTCTCTTTGGTGCACTATGGTGCAAAATGTTTGATTGTTCTTTTCGTGGATCCACATGTATAGGTATACCATCGTCTTTCGTTATAGCTCGCCACGAGTAAATATACATACGTAGGTAGGTGGGTAGCTTTGTAAACCCGTTATGTAAAGATATATAGATCCCGCGTGGAGGCAACTCTCGGCTTCCAATGGGAGGAGAGAGAGAGAGAGTATATATATGTAGTCGTAGAATAACGATCGTCGCCTTGGGGGGTGTATATAGCCGAGATTTCGGGGGTATATATATATATATACGAAGACGGGCACAATAGGTGGGGAAAGACAAAGTGTTTCACCAAGACGGAGCGCGACGCTTGCAGTTTATTATCGAGTCCACCCCACCCCACCTGCGTATGTGCTATACATGTATACATACCTGTACGTACACACCGAACCACTAGTTACCGTTCGCTACTTTCCATAACGAGGTAAGAAGGCGAAAGGGGACGGAAAGTTTGGGCCTCCTCTTCAGCAAAGTTTACCCCGCGATGCCAGTATATATGTATACACACGCACACGCACACACACATCTATACTCGTACCCGTGGCATCGCGAGTCGCGACGATGTTATCTCGTTATCGGCGGAAACTCGATGCGGCGTCTAATTACCCGTGAAAAGTCGCCCTAACGCGCACAATAGACGCGAGACTCTCACACGGGAGAGACGAAAATTCACCATCATCGAAGCAGCATCGTTATACCATGCACTTGTTATTTTGTCCAATGCATCGCGTACTGTTTATTGTGATTACAAACATCGTGTATAACCACATATATACATGTATACACGTCACCGCGGGGCAGCCCAAAAACGTGCACCTTCCTCTGCGATAGGCGCTATACAGATACGTATAGGTATAAACTCGGTAAGATGCATGTACCTGCAGTGCGGCCACTGCGCCTCTCCGGGGCCCTAACGAGACACCGGTGTATACACGCCAAAAGTGATGGCGGTGAGAGTATTCCGCTATCCCCGTAGGCCTCCGCGGCAGCTCCTCTGGAAAGCTGTCTCTCCCTCCTACCTCTCTGGCGCTTATCTCTCCGGGCCTCTTTTACCGAGAGCTGTGGAGGGTGGAGAGGAGCTGCAGGGAGAGGCTGCTCTCAACCACTTGGCAATTCAATTAAGCCGGAAAACGCGGACGGTGGGTACGTGCTTGCGGGTGGTGGAGCAGCTAGAGGAACGAGGGAGGCTGACGTCGACGATGAGGATGATGATGGAGACGAGGAGGGGGGGGGGAGAGTTTGAATTAAGCGACCGTCTTGGGGAGGGAGGGAGGGGTGAAAGTTTGCCGAAGACTGTGCGCTGCCACTGTGCTCGTTTGCCAATATTGATGCGGGCACTTTCCCAACACCACCCGCGTCCCGCTACCGTGGGTGTCACTTGAGGCCATACGTACAGGGTAAAGCTCTTAGTTTTTGGTGGCGTCTACACCCCTGTACTTTCGCGAGTCTCGTCCGACCAAACTTTGCTTGATCTACTTCTTTCGTTTCCCGTAAAAATAATTACAGTGCAAACATGTAAGTATATTGTTTCTCCCCCCTCCCCCCACTCGTGATTGTTCGATTCGCACGTGCAGCAGGTGGCTTCGCGATAAATCAAAAAAGTCGAGGGGTGAGAGGAAAAAGTTCGGAACTCGGGGAGGGGGTGATATTTTTCAATACTCCCGTCAAACTCACTCGAGGTGGTACAATGGGAAAGAAAAAAAGATACTCTTTTTATTTCCTCATAAAAATCATCTCTGTCTCGGCGTCTGTTACAGCACTGAGAAGTCTGAGCCAGCTGAGTAAGGAGGGTGACGTGCTTGGCCTGGATGATGACGTCGCAGCACACCCCACCCTGGCTTTGATGCGCCGCATCCTCGCGGATGCACAGGTGAGTCAATGTTGCACTTTATTTATAATTTTTTTTTATCTTTTCTTTGTCACGCAATGGTTTTTGTTATTTTTTTCCATCGCGCTGAAAACACGTGGTTCGTTTCGTGAAAACTTGGGAGCTCGAGTGATCGAGCCCAACTTTCAGCTATCTCTCTCTCTCTCTCGAGGAGTTACCGTTTACGCGTTAGTTTGAGTTCATCAGCAATCCACTTTATTTGAAGGCGATGCATCGATCCTCGCAAACAACGTGAACGTGTGCACCTGTATATAGGCACATCACACGCCGGAGGGGCATGAATGATTTCGCGCGTACAACGTAAGATCGGGCCATGGACGTTTCACGACTATTTGTCGGATGCACCGGCAGAATATTAATAATCGCTCAGACTCGCAGCTAATTTCCCCTCCACTGCCGTACAGTTTGCAACGCGTGTATATACCACCAATGCTAGCGACGTGGTTCTAATTACGTTGCTCCTCTCGTACACCTGTACGTGTTATACTTGGGAGAAATAATTATTAACTTTGAGCTCGGATATTCCATTACTCGGGAAAAGTCGTTGAATCGCGGGGCTTGCATTGAATTTCTCGGATGAATGGGGTACAGTGGCTCGAGGATCGATGGCCCTCGGCTAACCGAGCTTGCATATGCGAAAGAGAGTAAGTATATGTACGATCTCTATAACGACCGTCGCCATTGGCGCGGGGTACTTTTGAATTCCCGACCTGCCCCGAAAAGTTCAAGAGGAATGTCCGTGCATGAATGTCCTTTTCACAGTCACGGTGCTTTTTGAAGAAAAAAAAAAAAGCTCCCGGGCTGTGCTTTCGTTGCAGTACCAAAAAAAGCTGCCACCAGCACGCCCCAAAGTTATGGCCACTCGGAGGTAAAGCAAGGGTTGACGCGCTCCGTGTAGAGCCTCGGCTCGGGTATTATACCCCAAAAACGTAATCGCGAGGAAATAAATGCCGCACAAGGCGATCATTGTGCAATAATACATCGTCACTCCCATGCGCGTACGCGATCACCATTATATTTCTTTTTTTTCATAATCCATAACGTTACTACCCGCTATCGCGCAAATTACTCGCGCCCCAGTTGTCAAGTGAGCTCGAGGGAGAGAGAAAAAAAGGGGTTTGTTTTTTTTTTTTTTTAACTCGACGCTCGCACGTGTGCATAATGTTCAGCGCTGCGCATCGAGCGAACGAGGTTTGCGGTCGTGCACGCTTCGCAGCGCGCTGATTTTAATTGCAATTATGTGCGCGCACCGCGTCGCAGCGTGCGACCTACACATATATATATGACTGTGTGTGCTCGTGAAAAAAATCATTCATTATTATTATCCAAGGGGGCCGTTTAATTACTTTTCCGTTCGAGCGCACAATTAAACATTTACGTGAGAGTCGAAATTTTCATTTTCGCGCGCTACCCGATACATACATATATGTGCAGCTGTGTGTTTCTCTTTTAGTTTACACAAGTCCTGACCCACTCTCTCATCGGCGCGCACATTAGCACGTTAAGCGAGAGGAAAAAAGCTCGAGCGAAAAAATGAGCCCTCACAATATTCATCTTGGCACGCGACAAAAGCCTCGGCGTTTCAATGGAAAAATTCGTGCGCCTCTCGGTAGTACCACCGTCGTATAAATATACATAGGTACACATACTTTGTGTATACGTTATTGTGTATATAATACCTTGTACGAAAGAAAAGCTCGACTGAATAAAGAGAGGCGCGAGCAGCGAGAGAATATTATAATATATGTATGGGGGAACGCGGGGCTTTTCATACGCGCTCCAAGTATCGCACACTCGTGTATTTATTGTACACGTGTGCGTCAGAGCATCGCTGAAGTTGAAAGGAAGGAGTCGAAATATGTATTTATCACGTACGTATGTATATAAGTACTAACCACGTGAAATGAGGATGTTGTAGGGACTTTTACTTTTGCGATCTCTTTCTCATCCTCGTCTCCTTTTATACGTGCAGGCTTCTAAATGCGCGTGCATGGAAATTTATCTTTTCTTTTTTTTTTTTTTTTTTTTTACTCCACAAAATTTCTATACTACTTACATCGTGTACATGCAAGTGTAAGTGGAATCCAGTCGCGACGAGTGCCGAATTCTCGCCCTAGTTTCATGACTTGTGATTATGCGTGTACAATCGTTCTTGTATGATGAATTGAACATATGTACCGTATCGTGGGACTGTCCTGCCAAAAAAGTTGAGAAAATTTTCATGATTTCTAAACTCAAATCGTTTTCAAGTGAAAAATATATCAGTCCTTGAAAATAAAATTCAAAGATGCTATACCCTGCAACCCTTCTCTCCCTCTTTCTTGTATGGACTTGTGAAGTTTTTACAAGATTATATATGTTTACATGAAGTTTTGCTCGTCACTCGATTATGATGATGCGTTCATTTGACATGGTATTTTAGCGTTTGATGCGCATACTTATGACTATTAAAAATCAATCGCTCTTTTTTCCAAATTTTCATCGATCTCCGCACACGTATAAAATATATCTCCTACAAATTATCCAAATGCCCTCGTTCAATGATTTATTTAACCTCCCCCTCCCCCCTTTTCTAAACCCAATGAGGTATTGATGAAGCCTTTCCGGCTCTTCTGCAGTACAAGCTCTCTCCTTCTACCCGATTTTATACCTCGAGCTTTCGGGCACAGCTGCGCGAAATTCACCGTCCAGCGCTTCCCCCCATCGTCTACTCCAGGACGCGAGAGCTTGAATTTATATTTCCCTCGGCACCCGTGAATCCTGCACCGGCTGCTCGATCGATGACAATTTTTCAAAAGTAAATCTCCCCAGTGCCACCGTATTGTTTAAGTCATATACACGCACACATCGTCGATGTCTATTATACCCCCTTCGAGATACGTGAATGGAATAGCGTGTAAGTTAAGCTCGAAGGTAAAAAACGCAGCGTCCCCTGCTTGCCCGACAATTTATCATCCTCGCTTTGCCATTGGAAAACAATTTATAACACGTACGGTAAACAATGGGAGGCCCCGGGTGGAAAAGAGGCCTTTATTTAATATCTTTAATCCCATTTGGAGTTCCTCTATTTTTCGTACACCCTCGCGACCCAGCTGGCTACAAAAAAAGGCACCAAAGGATCAAAAAAAGCTCGCGCAGAGTAAATTTACCTCTCAATTTCCGTGCAAGGCCGGATTTATTCGGTGGAGTCGCGCGGATAACATTGCCAATCATTTCAGAGTTTACGTTTTTCAAACTTAATTCCTACCTATTTAAAATAAATTTGCGATTTCGAGGACATAGGATTTATTTGACATCGGCATTATTGTGCGGTTCATTAAGTTAACATTCAATACACGTCTGGGATTCCGATGTTTCCCTTCAATTGAACAAATTCAATTCCACTGGATGTAATGTACGTACCATGTATAAGACAACATTATCTCGACAAGCAGAACCACACATACCAAGTAACTTCAAATCCCTCGGAGGACACGAGATACGCTTCTCGAATAAACAGCCTCGTCAAGGCCCATTCAATCCCCCAAAGCCATAATCATCTTTAGTACACCGTAAATATGGTATACATGGAACCAGAGATGATAATACCAAAACGAGAATAGATGGAGGGGGAGCCTCTATATTCAGGAGCTGACGCACAAAGACGACGGAGCATATTTTCATGTCGATCGGCTTAGGCGCGTAACGCGCGACGGGGACAACCGTATCACCCGGGGTCCTTGCGTCCTCGGCAGGGATGACGCAGGCACCCAGCCACTCCGTATACCTTTGCTCCAACTGTTGGAGAGAACATCGGCTCTGGAATCACGGTCGAACAAGGGGGCGCCCGAACACTCAAGAGGGGACGTATAGTTGTATTGTGCACTGCGAAGAGCCTCCACGTGTTGACGCACGGGTGTGTGTAGGTATCGCACAACCTCTGGGGACCGCAGGGTCTCGCGTTTTGATAATACTCTGCGACGTAAACTCTGGTCTGCACGTGAAACATGCTAATTTGGGGTATTTCACGCAAATATATACGTATACCTACGCTTGTGGATGGGTCGTGCGGTGACTGTAACCCATAGTTGGCTTTGGGGAATACAGTAATGGACGTGACGGAGGACACCGGTACTTACGCGTATACACACACACATGTACTATTTACAGGTGGACTAGCTCTCTACTCTCATCCGCCGTGCAGGAGAAAATGTTTTCTTGCGCCACGTACAAGACAGATTGGGTTTGTTTGGATAAAATCCCAATATTTCTACAGTTTCATGAGCAGTCTTGTTTTTTCAAAAGCCAGCACGTGATGAAGAAAAAAAAAAAAAAAAAAAAAAAAAACGACCAACCCCTGTTTGATACCATCCAATGCGGGTACGTATCTGCCACATCTGCAAAAACTCGGCGCAAGAGGGCACCACAGTGTTGCGGAAGGCATTACAAATGAGTGAGATATTTTCGAAAGGGGGGCTAATCCATTAGTCCCCGGACGCTACAACCTGCACCGACAGCTGGCCACCAGGTATAATACACAGGGGCTATCGTACGAGCGAGAGGGAGAACTGCAACGTTGATAACTGCCATTCATTAGGCGAACAAGCTCCGGCGCTCCGATGCGATGGCATTAATGAATCGCCTGCTGCTGTACACTTGGATCTCCTCTTTCCCTCTCTCTCTCTCTCTCTCTCTGGAGTATCGCACTTCCGCGTGCAACAGACGCCGACGCAACGCCGTTTGTCTTGCCTTTACGTACATGTACGTATACACGCGTGTGTAGGCCACACGTAGACCGACTTGGATCTTAGGTATCGTGTATTATTATTATTATACAACTACCTTCAAGGATGAAAATTAACGGGACCCGGTCTTCGAGCAGTTGCGGGTTACCGCGCTGTGGTTATACTCACACACGCACACACAGTCCGTCCGAGATGATACACGTGTTACTGGGTTTTAAGGCGGTTTTTTCCTGGACCACAATAGCTGATGAAGAAAAA